GGGGAAGATATGGAGGCAGTGACAGATTTTACTTTCTTGGGCTCCATGATCACTGCAGATGGAGACAGCAGCCACAAAATTAAAAGACACCTGCTTCTTGGGAGGAAAGTGATGACAAACCTTGACAGCATCTTAAAAAGCAGACACATCACCTTGCCAACGAACGTACACATAGTCAAAGTTATGGTTTTTCCAGTAGTGATGTATGGAAGTGAGAGCTGGACCGTAAAGAAAGTTGACCACTGAAGAATTGATGCTTTTGAATTGTGGTGCTGGAGGAGACTCTTGAGAATCCCCTGGACTGCAAGGAGAACAAACCTATCAATTTTAAAGGAAATCAACCCTGAGTGCTCACTGGAAGGACAGATCCTGAAGCTGAGGCTCCAGTACTCTGGCCATCTCATGAGAAGAGAAGACTCCTTGGAAAAGACCTTGATGTTGGGAAAGCGTGAAGGCAAGGAGGCAGGACGACAGAGAACGGAATGGTTGTACAGTGTCATCGAAGCAACCAACAGTGTCATCGAAACCACCAGCATGAATTTGACACAACTCCGGGAGGCAGTGGAAGACGGGAGGGCCTGGCGTGCTCTGGTCCATGGGGTCACAAAGAGTCAGACATGACTAAACGATGACGATTGGGCCAAAACAGATATCAATATTCTTTGTGCATTTGACATGGCCCTTCAAAAAACACCAAGAGCATCAGATGATTCATGGGGTAGTTATAAAATATCTCTGAAATGTGCATTTGGGAGGAAATTCTTGCAATGCAAATAATTCAGCTTCTCAGATCCTGCTGTTTGCATTTTTTTAAAATAATAATAACAATGAGTTAGATCCAATTATTTCTCTAGCATCATCTATAGTTTGGCATTCTCTTAACTATGATTGAGAGGAACAGAAGGCAAAGAAGCCTGACTGACTTATTTTCTAATACTGGGAAAAATATTACCGGCTTATTTAAGAGTTGTCACTATCGTAACATTACAGGCTTAACCTTCTGCATAAACCCAAAGTGTTTAGTTAAGTGGTGGTTAATGCAAATATAGGGAGTTGTGCTGACTTGAGTTTGTGTTATATTCAAGATATTATGTCAAAATATTCCATCTAACACTTTGCATTTTACAAAAAATTACAAGATACTGCACTCAAATCTTACATCACAAACAATGAAATGTTAATGAGGCAGTACACAAGTTTGACTCCTTTTTTTAATACATGAAATATGATACCACCAGTAGACAACTTGAATAAAAATTACAGGCATACATGGACAATTTTTTACTGAATAGTACATTGATTTAATCTCTTCGTAGTGGAACAGTTTCTTCTTTAATTCCATCTTTCGTTATAATGCAGATTTTTAGGGCATCACCAGTGTAGACATCTCTTTCTGCAGCAGAAATAAAGACATCCTTTACGAGCTGCAAAGTTTTTTCCAAAGATAAAGACACTTGCTCCACATTTTGCATGTTCTTGAGGCCAACCTTTAAAAATAAAAAGGCATGTTGATTTTCAATTTCCTTCTTTTCATTTGACAATTATAATGAAATAAACTGATTACTTTTCTCTGCTGCAACAAATAGTGAACTATCTCAACAATTTACCACAGTAATTTTGGTGAGAAGCAGCACTAAGACAGTAGCAAAAGCCAAGTATGATGTAGCTTTACAACCTATGTTTTAAACCTCCAAATCTAAATGAAACTTCATTATTTTATTTGTACTTTATAGTTAGATAAGAAGGCAGAAAATGGATTTAACAACACAACGTAAGGTTATACATTCATTTTGGCTCTCATTACTGGGTATCAAAGTGAACGCCAGTACAGTAGGATCCCTGTATCTGCGGTGAATTGTTTCCAAGCCTGCCAGGAAATGCTGAAAAATGCAGATTATGATGAAAGCTATTTTAACAGCTGAAACAGTACTATTCATAGCATGGTTTCAGGCTCCCTCTAGTGGCCAGTTCTGGTAACCTGATCTTCATCTAGGATTTTTATTTTAATATTTTTAGTATTTTCAGACCATGGATAAGTGAACTACCAGATACTGATCCCACAGATAATGAGGTCTGTCAGCAACTAAAGGCAACAGACCACAAGATAATGGAAGCTTCACGTTTAACAGCGACAACAATAAAAGAAACTATCACTGGATTAAAGTATGTGAACACACACCAAAGCACAAAATTTGCCTTCAACTCTAGGTTAACAAGCATTATGACCGGCGGGGAGGAATATCCCCCCTTCTCCATAGACAGCTTTCCAGTGTCTGCAGCCTGAACTAACTTAGCTTGCCAGAGAGCAAGGCTTTGCAGAATTAGGATTTCTTTAAGAACTCCTAGGGTCTGGCCAGGCAAATAAACCCACACAGATTAAAAAAGATATCAGCTTTTGGACATGTGAAGCCAATTCTTAATCACCACAGATAGCCAAAGCATATAATGACCAATTGCAAACCCATTCTTGTATGCACTGTATTTGGAAAGTTAGTTTCTAAGATTCAAATCCAATTATTAGTACAACCTAGAGTAGACGAGTGAATCAATGTCACTGTGCAATGTCAACACTTAAAGTTGTATGTCCCACTGTAGCTTCTAACAACTGATTTCACTCCAGAGGCTTACATTCCTCAATTTCTACTATGAAAAAGGCTAAAAACAAAGGTGACCAGGAATGCAAACAAGGGATTGAGAATGAAATATATGACAAAATGTATTACTGAACAATCACAGCAGAATACTTACCTGATTGTCCAGCAGAGGCTGCAGCATGGCACTTGCTGATCCACCAGATTTGAAAGTATCTCTCTGGTAGGATCCTACTGGATCAAAGCTGTACACTGCACCCTTCCCTGGAGAATAAAAATGCAATTATGACCACATGGAACAACGACATAAACCTAATACAAGTTCTAATGGTTAAAACAGGTTAGATGCTCTCATTTTTCCCAGCACCTTGATAACAAGTATCTTAGTCACAAATAAAGGAAAAAGATGATCTTGACAGTACAGTACATCACAAAAAAGATAACTGAATCAATAACATGCATCAAAAGTATATGGGAAGTACTGTATGTACCTGCTGAAGTTACATACAGAACTGAACTGCTGAATGTATACCAATTAATGTTGAGAACATTATCTAAAAGTCCAAATAGATAATATAAATGAAGAGTCCTGTAAGATAAGGTGAACTGATTTAAATTATCAGATTGTTTAACTCATGTTACCTGAAAAAGTATGAATACTCACCGCTAGAACTAACATACAGCTCATCACCTAAATATAACTTTTACAGCCTAAAAAGATAACCTAAAGCCTCTATCATATATACAACTTGTTTTCTGAATTACAGAACTTCTATCTGCTTGGTGAAACAACCATGAAATTCCTTAGGTGATAGTCTCCAAATTCATAACCTGCATAAACATTACTGGTTAACTACTAATTTGTATAAGAATATATGGGTACTAGACTGTATTTATAATATTTAATAGCCAAGAACAGATATTATTACCTATAAGCTCTGGCTGTTTTTTTTTAAAACATATGTGAAATACTAGCATGAATACAGTTTTAAGAGAATGGGTTGAGTCCAAAAGAGGAATCCTTTTGTGAAAAGGCACAGGGTTGAACTTTAAATAGCATGCTGTGACTCACAGTTTTCTCATGAAAGTTGTTACTCTGAAGTTAAAAACTTGCTTTCATTTTTACCTGGTCCAATAAAGAGTTACTAACTTCTGAGGGCCTGTCCACACAGGCATATAGCACAGCTTGGATTTCTTTTTTTTTAAAGCTTGCCCCCTTGTGTTCCTACATAAATGATCAATTCTTCCCTGTTTAGCCAGGAGAGAGCAGCCTCCAGCAGCTGCAGATTCTGAGGGAGAGTTTGAAAGAGAAAGTGAAGGGAGAACAAGAGAAGGGAAGCTGGGTTGGGGAGAACAGAGACACCCATAAAGTCTAGTTTGGACAAGGCTTTATTGTCTTGTGCCAAAATGAATACTACTATATTTAAGATGAAGTTTACCTCAGATAAATGAACTGTTGTCACTGGTTGCACCTGAAATGGTGGGCTATGTTCCATAAAAGCTTAGGGCAGATAAAACTTGCTCCATCCTTGAGGTGTTGCAAGAATCTTTGTTGCTTTTGTCCCAACCAAAAAATACTATACTGTTGCTGGCAGGAAACACATTTCCCTGAATTTCTACTGTGAGCGCAAATTGGACGTTACCTTCTTCATCCAATCCACCAATTATATTGTAGACATAGTAAGGGAAGAAACGTCGGGAATACAGGATTGTAGAAAGCATGGCTGCAATGGCACCTGAACTCATTATCTTGTTGTTGGAATGCTTGTACATCTGGAACCAAATGACACCGCTGTTATTCTCATGCTAAGGACGTCTATGAAATGAGCTACAGACCAAGCAATACACCTGCTAAGAACATGATACAACAGTCCCCTCCATCAGACAAACAAAGCAATCCCTTCAATTATAATTAGAGATAGGAGCTTTGCATAGCACCACAGGTGATGCTGAGTTCCATCTCCCTTCCCTCAGGCTGTCTGGTCCACTTACCGGGCAATGCAAACTGCTGGGGTCCATCTTTGCCAGCAGTGCTCCAATCCAGGCAAGAGCCCAGCCAGCCTTGCCCCGCTTCCTCAGGCAGTCAAGCACGCTGGCGAAGAGTTGTTGGCTGCCTGGGGGTGCGGGGTGGGGAAAAGTTGGCTGGGCTCCCGCCTGGATTAAAGCACCCGAGCAGCATGCAGTGCCCGGTAAGTGGACCAGGAGGCCTGAGGGAAGGGAGATGGAACTCAACACCACCTGTGGTGCCTTGCTTCATGCTTTGTACAAACACAAATCTCCCATCTCTAATTATAATTAATGCATATCAGTTAGTTTACTGAACAGACTTACTGGTAGGAAGGAGACGAAAACAAATACCTTTGAACTCCCTTCTCAGGAAAAGAATTCTTTTTAGTTGATAGTGCACTGCACATTTTGCTACAACTGCTTTTACAAACAAGCTTACATGAACTTTTTGACAGCAAGTAACAACCAATATTAAAATAGCTTTCAAAAATGCACCTGGATTCCAAAGGTTCAAATACAAACAAACAGAAAATTAACTTTGTAACCAACTGATATTGTGCTATAATTGAGCTGTGATTTGACTACATTTTGCCACCAGGCCTGCAGAAACATCCAGAGTGATATCCAACATCACCCTAGAGAAAAAAAATACACAGAAACTGATAATCTTCCACTACCAGCAGCCTAGGTGCTAGCAAAACTAGAGCAAACAACACCTGATGTGATGAAGTCATACTCTGTCATAAAATCACGTGTGAATTGGATTAAAGCACTAGATCTGACACACATTCAAGGATAAAAAGAGTGCTCTGCAAATGGTGGGAACTTCATGCTTGTGGAATGACACCTATGGACATAATTCCACATCTTTAAGGTATTGCTTTGTTTGTTGATCTTTACTAATGCTTGGCCAATTTCACTTGGAAATATACATTGTCCTACCTTTAATCTGGCTTCCAGGATTTTAGTCAGTGTGAGACAGTCTCCGTGAAAACCACTGCAGCCAATAACGGTTGTGTCTGTCCTGTACAAATGTAATATTAATATGATTTTAAGTGAGCTTCACACTCCAAGACAAAGCATTTTCTCAGATAGGAGTTTTTGTTGAATCACTGTAAGGAGTCAAACAACTGTACAGCTGAAAGGACTCCATGGATCCAGTCCACCCTAACTACAAAAAAATGTACAGCTAAAGCACCCCAGTTGATGGTCATTCTACTTCTGTTTTAAAACCTCCAATGAACGAGAGTCCAAAGCAGTTTGCTCCAATGCTGAACAGCTCTTACACTCAGAAAGTTCTTCAAAACAGTATTTAGTTTGTATTGCCTTTCTTATATTTTAGCCAAGTAGGAAATGTATCAGTGATTCATCAATATCCAAGCACTTTTCTTATAAACCAATACAGTGGTGCCTCACTAGACAGCTACCCTGCATGACAGTTTTTTCACTAGACATTGACTTTTTGCGATCGCTGTATTTGAAGACAAACCGGAGCCAGACCCGAACCCTCATATTGGCTCTGATGGCTTGAAAGAAAAATTAAATTTCTAGATATACCTCTATTAGATAACATTAGTCATAGTAGCTAAGCAGAACATTAGCATAGTAGCTCATATACAACTGCTTGACCACTGTGAGAAAGTGAGGTTCTTAACTGCACATATTGCTGCCTCTGTATACTCACAGTTCACATGACAAGTCTTCACCTCAGGACAGACACAAGTAGAGAAATCTGTAGGTTACTGGTGTCTCTGACACCAGTTATTATGCTGAAACTGTTATTATGGCAAGAAATGTTTGGTACTTCAGATGTTTTAACCTACAACGCCCATCAGATCCAGCAGGCACAGTTAACAAGGTGTTCTAAGAGGTGTACTCCAAAGTATTAGGAAAGCTAAAAAGCTTGATGGGGAGAAAACTGGCTGAAAACACTAAGGGTCTCTCTGATCTGAGTTGACAAGCAGTTACTCTCCCACCAGATTTTTCAAACAGAGATGATAAATACACAGATAGGTGAGACTTCTCTAAGCAATGTTGCCAATGTGGGATGCTGCCCACTGCCTTTCATTGGGACAACTGATAGAATTTTGTCTAGAAAGAAGAGTTAGTGCACAATTTTTGCATGATCAGCAAAATTGCAGATTACAGAACCCAAAAATTATGGAATGTAAGAAATATCCTACCATAAGATTAACAATGGATCCTACACATGTTTTTTTTTTTTTAGAAAACAACCCCACTGCATTTAGTATGGCTTACTTTCAGATAAATGCATATAGGATTCCAGCCTATAACACTATGATTAAGGTTATAATCCTGTTACCCACTCACCTGAAAGCATGCTCACTGAATTCAGTGTGACTTACTTCAAAGTGGATATTTCTATGATTGCCAAGTATGGATTCCCAAGCAGACAATGAGGCATATCCGTTAATGCAATGAAAAAGCTACTATTGTGTATTGAGTTAAAGTTAGGCAAGGAGTAATGAAATCAAATGTGCACCAACTGGATTTCTTTTCTGCCACAGAAAAAATCAAAGCAACTTCAAATAAACATATTTACGTGTATCTAATCTCTGTGTGTGTGTGTGTACACACACACACACACAGACACACACATATACATATAAGTAATTAAAAACAAGAATTTAAAGAGGTTTGAGTTTTATTAAAACAAGAATTTAAAGAGGTTTGAGTTTTTTCCTTTTGCAATCTGAAACATCTATCATGTTTATAAATTGGTACTAATACAAATTTTAATTTCAGTTTCAAGAGCATTAACAAAAAATAGCATATTGGCAAAGTGAGTCATGCTTGATAGTGAAAGCAAAATGGATTTTAACCTCTGCAGCTCCTTGGAGCATTCGACATACCCATGTAGTCAATCTCTCTGTTTTCAAAACCACTTGGTACACTGTAAGCTAAGACAAACATAACTTCAAATCTCCCAATATAGACTCTAAAGTAAATGAACCATGTGCTGTATCAAATGCAAGTCATAGACAGGCAAAGATCATGAGCAGTTATGTTCAGCTAATATTTTCCTACTCCGAGTTCACTTTAAAAATATAATTACATAAAAAAGTTAAACTTAACTTACATAAACTAAAAAACCAAACAATCAGTTTTAGGTTTTCATGTTCAACTTACAGCTTGTAGCATTTTGGACTGTCTCTGCTATGAACTGCATAGTCTTCACTGAGCCGGGTATCTGATGCCACAATACAAAAATCTTCACCAGCAATTGCCAAGATAGTCCTTTTTAAAAAAAAGAACAAGGCAAGGTTTCTCAATATATTCAGTATTAGTTGACATCAGCTATGGAATCACAAGACCAGAAATCAAAGAACATGAATTATAGACTTTGTTTAAATTAGACAAATACTACCCTCAAACAGACAAGCTGCCCACAAAGGCAAACGTTTAGGTACAGCTTTATTTAACCTGAGCACGTCTTTTTAATTCTTTCTACTCATGTTCAGATCTTACAGTAACTAGTAATGCAACAGGTTTTTTTAAAAGAGAAGTTTCTTTACCATATCTACAGAGAAGAATTCAGAACAAAAACTAAGACATTAAAGAGCATGTTGGTAAAGTATGAACTCCCCTTAATTTACAGGTGATGCTAAAACCTATGCAACTACAAGAATTCAAGAGGCTAATTTCCCAATCTATACTATTAATGCAGTATGGGTACATGAAGTATTGTCCTCATAAACAATTAGCATCCACTGCCTAGCTGAAGTGATGCCTACAAGTACTACAAGCACGTTTTTACTATGGATGTGACCTATCCAGTTTAAAATACAAATAATTTTAACAGAGGACTTATATTAAAAATCAACAGAATTTTAAAAAGGAAGTCCGATGCAAGATACTATGTTACTGTAATTTAATTTAAATTATTATATATTAACTGTTTTTATTTTCTCTGTTGTGAGCCACCCAGAGTAGACAATGTCTAGATGGGCAGCATATAAGTGCAATAATTTATTTATTTAACACCTCATTTGATTTATCAGAATATATGATTATTGACAGTATATGATTCCGCCTTCCTTAACCTCATTTGATTTATCAGAGAATATATGGTTATTGACAGTATATGATTCCGCCTTCCTTTGATCAAACACAAAAAAGCTAGAATTCAACAGCGTTATAGAATTTGTTCCGTACAATACTTGAACCAAGGCTATCAGTCCATATGATCACCAGACATATCCAGATATGTATGACAGAATATGAAATACCATGCAAAATATAAAACAAAATACAGTACAGCAAACCTACATAACCTTTCATAAATCTGAAGGAAAGTGGAACAACACTGATTTTTTGATGTGCACTGGAGCAAATTAAGCTGATATCATAGTGGAGAGACAGCTCTAAAAAGGAAAGCCACAAATTCAAGGAGAAAAATCCAGAAGGACAGTGAGAAGGAGACACAGGTTTTATTTCTTTTTTAAAAAAACAAGATCAAATAGGGATCCTGCTCAGATCTTCAGAGGTTGCGAGAGATAAACCCAATGCCATCAATCTCCCTTCGTGCTAAATGAATGCCTGCAGAGAGCTGGGTTAACTCTTATTCAAGAAGAAAGTTAAGTTTTTTTGTTTTGCTTTGTTTTGCTTACTTTTGAATTCACTCTGAATTTTCAGCTTCCTGTTATGACTATTCATTGAACACACTGCAAGTTATTCAATAACCAAAAGACAGGACCATGTAATAAAAACAAAAGCCTAATCAGCAACAAGAATAGAAAATTTAACAGTTCCTAAAATCAATAGAAAACTACATACATTAAGCACCTACTACACTAAGCACCACCAAAGACTCCGAATATACATACTAGGGCATTTCTCTGGCAGGGCACCATCACTGAAAAACTTCTATCTCCTTTATCCAACTACCTTGCCACACTTGCCAGGGGATACCTGGGTAAAAACTGATGGCTCCAGATCCTTGTTTGTAAAGACAGAATAATTTGCTGCTTCGTATAACCTGGCCCAAAGGCATTCAGGACATAGGATATGTGCACAGGCTAAAATCAACACTTCGATTTGGGTTTTAAAACAGAATGGTGAAAAATTTTATGAAGTGACCACACTAGCCAAAATCTGTTACTGTTTCTCTACTGCCATATTTTGGACTACTTTCTGGACTGTTCTGAAACATAACTTTACATAAAACATGTTACAAATCAAGCTTTCATAGTTCATTTTGAACCAACTCACTTTCATGCTGTCTGTTGTGTATAAAATTATTTTACATCTGCAGTAAACCCTTGTGTTGTTACTATGCTATGTTTCCGTCTTTCCTTTTCTGTATGAGAACTGCCTAGGAAGGCGGCCTTTAGAGCTAACAGGAGGAATATAAAAGGTTTAATAAACTTGAGAACAGAGTACGCTTAAAAGGCACAAATAGAGCCCAAATAAATTCTTACAGAATAACAGATGGGGGGTGGCAAGGAACTGCTCCCAAGGAGGCGAGCAAACAGGCAAGTACTCACCCGCCGTTGAAGGTATAGGGGGAAAAGCGGTGCTGTACAGCAGCTCCCCGTTTAACCTCAAAACCCAGCCCAAGAGAGGGCTCCACGCAGCCGGCTGTCGACAACATCTTCCCTTCCACACTCCCCAACTGCTACTGCTGTCTCACGGCAAAATGGAGGCCACGGAACCGGAAGTGAAGCTCCGGCTTCCGGCGTGCGGGCCCAAACCAGCCTCTTTTTTTGCATCACAGCGCCACCTCGAGGTGGGCAGGTGTTAAAACTCCCGGAAGCCAATAGGAATGCTCTCCCAGGCAGGCGGTGGAGGAAGGGGGAGAGGGCGGCCTATTTAGTCCGGGAGCCCTTCCTACTTAGACAGGCTTCATAAGGGAGAAGGGATGGCGAGGATAAATTATAGGGCTTCCTTAACCGTATTAAGGGAGAGAAAAAGAAGCACAGGGCCTGGAAGCCAGCTGGACAGGGTTAGAACGTGGAGCTAGACGAGAGTCATTCACGGAGTGTCGCACGTTCGGCCAAGGCTGCCTTGTCCTCCTCCTGGTTTAACTTAATACGGGGGCAGCGCCTGCACAGCAGCAACTGTGCACAAACGCAACCTTCTCCAAGACAAAGACAGCCTTTTGGTCCCTACAAATGCAGGAGCAGGTGATGCCTTTATTAGACCACTCAAATAAACAATCTGCGAGCTTTGGTGGGTCAAAGTCCACTTCCTCAGCCATACACCCATGTCTTGTGGGTAGCGGATAAAAGATATATAAAAGAGATTCCAAAATTCATGGCAGATGATTGTGCCAGGCTTATTACTTAGGAGTGAGTTAGGTTCTCCGATAAGGATCCCTGAAACTGAGGTGCCGCTCTAGGCTCTGACTCGCTTCCCTTTTCACTTCTATGATAAACTCTTGAAGGCGAATTCCCCGCGCTCGGATACTTGCAATGCGCCTGCGCGCTCCTTATCTTCCTCTCAGGCCTCTACTCCCCCCCCACGACTCCCCTTAAGAAAGTTGGCGCGGGAAGTAAGCGTAAAGGGTCGTTACAGCCGTGCGAGTGACGTAGTAAAAGTGCGCCGCCGGCTAAGGCAAGCAGGGGAAGGGGCAGGTTGGGCCGGGCGAAGAACTTCTTCTGCAGGGGGTAAGTGGCGGGGCCCGGCTGAGCGCTGGCTCTTCGCCGCCCTTTCCCTCACCTCCGGTGGACGCCTTCGATGAACGGTCGGGAGGGTGAGAGGTTTCCTCGATAGACCTACAACGGGGCAAGCCAAACACTCGCTCCGCTCACAGTACCCGGGCTTAAGTTTGGCTCGCTTCCTTGTGCCCGTAACGTGAGGAAGGGAGGATAGCGGGTCAGGTCAAGGCTGGCCTCGCCGCCCCTCGCCCCTCTCGGTGTTCGAATGGGAGCGCGGGAGACGGCGCCCTCCTCCGTGGCCATCTCTCCCTCTGGCTGTATGTGTGTGTGTGTGTGTGTGTTGGGGGGGGAGAGGCGGGCAGGAGCGAGTTCTGTGCCTTCACCCTTTCTCGGCTTCCCTCCCTTTCCACCCCCCCTCTCTTGTGGTTCTTCCGACGACGCCAAGTCGTGCCCCGTGATGAGGATCCTGCCCCTTGGCTGCAGGCGGGGCGCTCGGCGCCGGGTTCCGTGCATGTTTGCTGGGAAGGAAAAGGACTGCTGCTCTTTCAGTGGGACTAAAGGACAGGAAAGCGTGCGTTGTTGGCGTATAAAGCCTATTATTCCGAGGAGAAAACGCGATCTTTCGGCTGTAACCGTTGGGCACGCTGGTCTGTGCGTGAGTTTGAATGGGAAGAAACGCATTTCCGCCTGAAGTGGAATAGAAAAATGTGGGAGGCAGGAAGGGATTCTCTACGAATTAGGCTGCTACCCGGCTCATTTAAAATTGTAGGTATCATCTCTAAAAACATCAGTAAAGGCTAGATCTTGACTTGGAGGTGGCTAAATTGCCTTTGGTGACGGTATATGATTTAAATAATGTCTTTCAGATGGAGGAAAATAGAAGCATGTCAGGCTCCAATCAGAAACCTAGTGTGGCATATACACTAGGTTTAACGTATACTGTAGCAGTGTTAGTGAAATCCATCAAATTTCTATGGAACCAATGTAGGATTGGATTCTTCTAAGCCTAAGGGAAGGACTCATACACAACAAATTTGCAGAGGTAAAGCTAGTAATAGGTGTTTCCGTTTGAGCTGATGCTAAAACTAAGGTATCTTGCTTTTGTATTTTTCTCTGTTCATGTGGAAGGAGGAATCTTTGAATCTTACCCTGCCTCCCCCAGGGGCCAGAAGGGGTTAATCTTAAGACTGTGTGGCATATGCCTGTGGTTTTATTGTTAAGGCATGTTTTTACATAGATGCTTTCTGTGTGCTTAGTTTTATGTTATGATGCATTCTTTAACTCTGCAATAAAGAATGGTGGAGTTACATTGTAAACAGCTGTAATGGAGTAGTGTGTATTCTTTCAGTGTTGCTCTACAGTAATTCTGTGATTTTTGAAAATGGAAAAGGTGCTTACTGTGGCTCATTTGTTATGTGATGGTATGCCACCAACATTGTACGTAGAAAGATCTCTTCTAGAGGAATTCTGCCTGTGCTTTTTCTTTTCCCTGAAATATTGGTATTGCAGTATACTGCTGTATTGACATGAAGGTAGCTCTGCCATGTACCGTATTTTTTGCACCATAAGACGCACTTTTTCCCCTCCAAAATGTGGGTGGGGAAGTCAGTGTGTCTAATGGTGTGAATGCAGCAATTTCGTTGCTGCTGGCCCCCTGGGGGGG